TCCTTGAGATCGGGAGAGAGTTCAGCCCGTGAGTTTGTTTGTTCATATCCCACTTTGACCATTTTCAGAAAGAGCTCAAAGCTGAGGACACAAATAACACTCTTTCCTCCTCCCGTTTTCCTCACAACAATCCTGTGGAGACACCATGACTGGCCCAAAATCACACAGCTGACTCTTGTGCCTGAGGCGGGACTTGAACTCACTGCCTCCTGAGTTCTAGCCTGGTGCCTTAAGCATTACAGGTGGTCCTTGACTTACGACATTTCTGTTGTTAAGGGAAACATTTGTGCAGTGAGGTTTGCCCCATTTTACGACTTTTCTTGCCACGGTTCTTAAGTGAATCACTCCAATTGTTATGTTAGTAACACGGTTGTTAAGGGAAGCTGGCTTCCCCATTGACTTTGCTTGTCAAAAGGACAAAGATGGCTAGTCCTGAAGGGGGAAGAGGGCAGACCCCCCTCCCTTTCACTCCTCCGTGGCCCCAAAGCATCCCCTGTAATATGGGGGGCATATTTCCTATCAGTCGAGGGTCTCCCCACTCTTGGACCCCTGCATCATCACACCTGAAGACCCCAGAGAGGATCTGTGAGGAACAGGAGAAGCCGCCCTTCTGCAAGGGGACCAGGACGGATCTGGCCGGTCACTGAACTCTCTCCCGAAGGGCCCCTGGGTGAGGCTCAGAGACCAGCCACTTGGACAGCAACCTGAGGCAAAGGTGGATTTGAGGGGAAAGCAGCCTCTGTTCCTGCCACCCCCAGGCCAAGGCCAAGTAGCCATTTTGCAAGTGATCAGCCGGTGATGCCGGAGAAACCTCTGGAAACAGGAACAAAATGGCCGCTTCCTCCCCAAAGAAGGAAACAGGAGCCCCTCCAGTTCTCCCCTCGATTCCTCCCCTTCCTATCACTCAGAGCGAAATTGGGGTCCCTGATCAACAAGGAGGGGGAAATCTTTGTTATTTCCAACTTCCACTAAGAGGCAGAAACGGTCAGGTAAGAAGAAATCAAAACCATTTATTTTCAGCAAACAATTTTAACAAACTTTATAATATATGTACCATTGTTAAGGACATAGCAACCTGACTCTGCAATTGATCTCATGTTCCATTTTTCTAAATCATGAACATCCATAAATGGCAATTATATAAAAATCAGTGTCAAATAATATACTCAGTCTATTCATTATTCGTCAAACTTTGTGTTATCAAATATATGGTGAAATAACAGTGCAATAATCAATTAAGAATGCACTAACTATTTTATTGACAAAAATCTCAGAATGCACATTTCTTCTTTTAGTAACACTTTCATCAAAGATGACATTAAACAGATATACAAGAAAAAGAAACCTCTAC